GCCTTCCCCACTGTGGCACAGACACCTGAACTCACACACACACACACACACACAAATCACATACTTACACAGTAACAATAACGTTTCTCTAAAAGGGGGCGCAACAAGTAAAAGTATAGAAAGGAAGGGAACTAGAAGGAAAATGATATATTTAAATAGGCATGTGTGTCTTGGAGTGTGTGTGTGTGTGTGTGTGTGTGTTCCTGCTAAACTGGCATGCCACCTAAAATAAACTCAAGACGGGGTATCCTCCACCCACCACTGCAGTCCAAGTATTCTAGAAACCTCTGGCCATGCCTGTGAAGGAAGGGAGCAGCCACCAGCCTGGTACTGCAACCAGGAAGGTTCTAGCCACTGGACAAGCCTGTGAAGAGGCAGTGCGGGCAGTACTCCGTGCAGGTACTTCAGTAACTGTCCTTCCCTCCCTCAGCCTGGCTCACCAGGGAAGTCTCTCTTGTCAGCAGGTTCCTATGGGGCTGGGGTGTACCATTTCCTCTTGCTTGTCCAAAGGCTCCCAGGCTCATCCTCAGGACCCAGGTGGGTCACAGATGGGAGAATATGCAGGTGTGATATTCCGAGGCTGTAAATAAGTAACCCTGAGCAGCCTGTGGTGTCTGTTTCCCTCCTAATACTCTGGTCCTGTGCCAGGGCATTCATTATTTAGTTCTTTTGTTTGTACCTGTCCTGAGTTCGTACAGTCCCAAGCAGGTCTGTCCTCCCCTTTCTGGTTACACGAGAACAAGCTGAGCTGCACAATAGGTGAGTGGAGACAGACAACCATGGATCCCCCAATCTGTTCCTCCATAGCTTGTCTGTCCGTCTTGGCTAGGTTTCAGAACCTTTCTGGACCTCTGTCATATTGCCTGGGTCTGAATCCTCATTTTTCCACTCCCTTGCCAGGAGTAACTGTGTGGCTCAACTCCCCTGAGCCTTGGAATGCTGCTTGTGTACAAATAGGAACACTGGCAGGAACTCTACGGAGGGCCTCTGGGAATGATTCAAAAAGGAAGGCATAAAGGGAAGCTTCTTTATGAACTCGCTGTGGCAGTCATTCATGACTGCCCAATTATTTGTTTTCTTTTTTAAATAATTATTTACTTGTATTTTATGTATATTGGTGTTTTTCCCACATGTGTGAGACTGTCAGATCACCTAGAACAGGAGTTACAGACAGTTGTAAGCTGCCACGTGGGTGCTGGGAATTGAACCCAGGTCCTCTGGAAGAGCAGCCAGTGCTCTTAACTGCTGAGCCATTTCTCCAGTTCCAGATTATTTGTTTTCTGTGGGATTTAAGATTAAAGTCAAGAACCTTCTACCATTGAGCCACCCTGCTCCCAGTCTGTGAGACACGGTTTTACTATGTAGCTCAGACTATTCTCAAACTAAAGTTCCTTCTACCTTACCTCCCATGTTCTGGGACCACAGGTATGAGAGCCAGCTAACTTGGTCCAGTGCAAGTACAGCTTCTTCATTGCCCATGGTAAGGTCCTAAACAAAGGCTTTTCTTTTTTTGTTGTTGTTGTTGTTGTTTTTTTTTTTTTTTGAGACAGGGTTTTTCTGTGTAGCTTTGGCTGCCTTGGAACTAATGCTGTAGACCAGGCTAACTTCAAACTCAGAGATTCGCCCGCCTCTGCCTTCTTTTTTTTTTTTTTTTTTTTTTTTTGGTTTTTCGAGACAGGGTTTCTCTGTGGCTTTGGAGGCTGTCCTGGAACTCGCTCTTGTAGACCAGGCTGGCCTCGAACTCACAGAGATCTGCCTGCCTCTGCCTCCCAAGTGCTGGGATTAAAGGCGTGCACCACCAACGCCCGGCTTCTGCCTCTGCCTTCTGAGTGCTAGGAGCAAAGGCATGAGCTGCCACCATCTGTCTGCTTTCATTTTCATTTTAGGGATGCTGAGAAAACTTCCTCTGTCTCTGTCTCTCTGTCTCTGTCTCCGTCTCTCTCTCCCTTACTCGTGTGTGTGTGTGTGTGTGTGTGTGTGTGTGTGTGTGTGTGTGTGTGTGTAGACCAGAGGAGTCCATTTCTTCCTCCCACCTTTACATGGATTTCAGGGGTTGGATTCAGTTCATCAGATATGCATGTATGTGAACCCTCTTGCCAGCCCAGAAGCCTTTTCTTAATATCTAGAAGACAACGTTGTCTGATAGCCAATGGAGGGGTTGAAATTGTTAGATCAACATGATACTTGCTTGACTCCCTTCTCAGGGTCACATCCAAGCCTGCTGAAGCTTCTTTCATCTGCTGGTCCCTCTGCGTGTCCCATCTCTCAGCCAGTCCATGATGATGGGGAACACGGTATCCTTTTCCCACTTATGTGGATCAGTTCAACACTGTCCTATCTGACACCCCCAGCCTTGAACTTTAGGTAGAAGGAGCATGGCAGCTACTGGCTACAGTAAAGTCAGTGTCTCCCTACCTCCTGCTGATGGTAGAAGTGGGGCCTCGGGAAAGGGGCACATATATTATCCTGCTATTGGCTTGTCTGGGGTACTGTCTGCCCTCCTACACACTAGAGGAGCCAATGGTAGGAACAGAATACCAACAGCAGTGAGTCTGGCCACTGCAGAGCATGGGTGTGCCTGGGGCCCTTGCCAAGCCTCAAATCTCTCTATTAGAAGGGACTGAGGGGGAGGAAGCTTGAATCGTTAGAGGCTTTTCCTACAGTAGAGCTAGAAACTAGCCTCATCCTGATCCTTGAGACTCAAAAAAAAAAAAAAAAAAAAAAAAAGAATCTGAAGGAGGCAACCTGATACTGCCTCAAATCAACCATGCTGATATCAGGAATAGCTAGGCACTTGTTCTTGAGCTCAAAGTCATCCCTGAGAAGGCTAGAGGTGGCATAAGGAATGATGGCTGGGATCCTGTCAAGGTGATTGAAGGCTGAAGGGGGATTCAGGACCCAGGAGCTGCTGTGTGACAAGACTTTACCTGGAGAAACACACACACATCTACTCACCCCAGATAGGCAGCCCAGGAAAGACTAAAGTGCCGATACCACCAAAGCCCACCTTGGTGAAACATGAGTTTTATTGGGGTCATTTACAGGAACATGGATGGGTGAGGAGTTACTTCCAGGAGCAGAAATGACTCAGAGACAGCTGCATCACCAAAGGCCACCCAGGTTCTCACAAAAGCTGAGAACCTGGAGCACACTGCAGTTTGCCAGCAGCTCAGCAGGGTAGAGCTTGTCCTTCCCACGTGACTCAAATGGCCTAACCTACTGGTCTCAGGGTCTTCTTTACAGCTTGTGTTGTCTGAGGGGGACTTGGCTCACGCTGGCGGGTAGAAGCTGAGTGAATCTGATCAGATGCAGGGATTTCCTGGAGCTGTTCTAGTTGTTTCCTTCCTGCTTAAAGACCTTCCCTGCAGGAAACTAAACACAACAGGAGACAGACCTGACAATTTCCCTTCTTTTTTTTTTTTTCCGAGACAAGGTTTCTCTGTGTAACAGCCCTAGATGTCCTGGAACTCACTCTGTAGGCCAGGCTGGCCTGAGCTCACAGAGATCCTCCTGCCCTTGCCTCTTGAGTCCTGGGATTAAAGGCGTGCGCCACCACCTGACAATTTCTGTAGTTTTCTTTTCTTTCTTTCTTTCTTTCTTTTTTTTTTTCTCTCAAGACAGAGTTTCTCAGTAGCTGTGTAGCCTGTCCTGGAACTTGCTCTGTTGACCAGGCTGGCCTCGAACTTACAGAGATCCTCCTGCCTCTGCCTTCCGAGTGCTAGGATTAAAGGCGTGCGCCACCACTACCGAGCTGTAGTTTTCGTGTGGTGTAAAGAAAGTCCATCGGAGCCAGGGATAGTGGTGCTCACCTTTAATTCCAGCACTTAGGAGTTAGTCTGACCCAGGAGCCAGGCAGACATGGAGACATTCCGTACTCTTGGATGAGGCTGCAGAGTGCAGAGCCCAACACAGAGGCCTCTGCCTGAAGCGTGCAGCAAGATCCTGAAAGGACAAGGCAGAGCACAGGCCTGAGGGATCAGGAAGGAGTTCGAGAGAAAGAAAGGGAAGGGTGTTCTAGGCACAGGGAGCAGCATCTCCAAAGCCTTGGAGGGAGACTCTGTGCACGGCTCAGCATCCCTTCAGTAGATCTTACGTGGGGCACTGAAAGAATTGATTAGGCACACAATCATATCGCCTATTTATCTATGTATGTATGCCCTGTCCTCCAATAGAATGTCAGCAGGAGGGAAGGAAATTTGCTTTGTTCTTGGAGCTCTGGAGGGAAGCCAGAGGATGCTAAGTAGATGGTGTTGAGTCTGCTAAAGTTGCATTTTACCCTGCAGTCGGTTGAGTTTGGTGGTTCAACATAAAATAGGAACAGGACCAGGTGTGAGCATGGCACTCAGGAGGGTGAGGACTACCATGAGGCCCAGTCAAACTACACGGGGCCTCCTTCCCCCATAGACGTTGTCTTAGTACACAAAACATGAATGAAGGAAAGAAAAAATGCAAAAAGCTGGGGCTGGAGGAGACTAAAGTCTTGGTGAAGCAACACAGGCTGAAAAATAACCCTAACCTAACCCCGAGAAGCCTGGCAGAGAAGAAAGGCAGGCCTCAGGGACAAGGAACTTGGTGAGTAGTATGTCTCCTCACAAGCCTTTATCTTCAGACACGGTTGCCATTTAGTCAGAGCATCTTCTCGTGGGACCAGGGTAGTCTTGCTCCTTGTCTACAGTTAATCCTTCTTTTGCCCCTTTCCAGAAAACAAAGTTTAAAAACACAGTAAGTCTGAGGCAGGCAGCTCCCCTTTGCAGAAGATGGAATGGACCCAGCCTGGCTCCTCCGACATCCAGCATCTGGCGAGCATCCTTCCTGAGTCAGCGGTGGCGAGAATTCGGAAAGCCGGGATGGTGACGATCACCTAGGGTAAGTGGTCTGAGAAGGCAGGCCGGGTAACAGTGAGGCGGGAATAGAGAGTTTGGATCTCTGCGGCCGCCGTAGTGGCAGAACTGCGGTCTCCATGGCAACGTCAAGAAGCAGCGCCAAGCTTCTGGGCGGTGCTGGCGCCTTGGCGGTTCCGACCAAAGGCGGCGCGGAATCTGTAAACTGCCGGTGGCCCTGACGGTGTAGGTCTGTGGCCGCGTGGCCAGAGGGAGCCGGGGCCTTGGGACCGCGGAGGGCGTGGCCCGATCCGAAGGGAGGTGCTGGATCCCGAGACCCCCGCCTGTCCAGCCGCCATCCGTTGGCCTCAGGCTTCCCACACAGGGAGAGAGGAGATTGGGCCCCTGGGCCTAAGGGTACTCGATCTTCGAGCCCAGAACCTTCTCTTTTCTGCAGCTCCTGGACGGAGTAGTGTTACCCTGCCCCATGGACGTGAGTCCAGTGCTATGTGCTCTCCTACCTTTGAGCTCGGCCTGGGGAGGGGGCTTTCTATCCCATAAAAACTCCTCTGGCTCTTGACAAGAACTGTAAGACAGAGAGCCCAGGATGAACTTCCCGTGAGGTGGCACATTTCGGGGATTCCAGCAAGACAGTGTACTAGCAACAGAGACAGCAAGCAATACAGGCAGAGAGAGGCCTAGGGGCCAGAGAGAGGATGGAGTCTCGGGGAACTGCTGAGACCTCATTGTGATCGCAGGGGCAAGGAGTAGCCGGGGCTAGGGTGGGGAACGTTGTCTCGGAAATAAGCGGGTGGAGATGCCCGAGCATCTGATGCGGAAAGAAAACAAGTTGGGAGAGGGGCCAGCGATGAGGACTGAGGGACGGGAAGGTTGTCATACTGGAGTTAGGTACAGAAATCTGTGCTGAGAAGTATTCTACAAGGAGAGCAGTATTTCACAGATAGGTCTAAACTGACAGCAGGTACTTGGAAGTGAAATGAGGGCGGCAGGGGACAGGGTGGTGAGTTAGGGTGGTACCCTATTGACCTCTCACCCAGCTCCCTGCGCCTCCTGTACGGCTCTTGCCCCACCTTCCCCCTCCCCCCCCCTTCCTCTGTGCTTGTCCAGGCCTCCTCTGGCCCGTGGAATCCAGCCCCAGCTTCCATCAGCAGCCCTCCCTTGCTGCTCCCCATCCCGGCTATCGTCTTCATCGCTGTGGGCGTGTATTTGTTGCTGCTGGGCCTAGTGCTGCTGACTAGACACTGCCTGCTGGTGAGGAGCCTGGACGGGAAGAAAGGGTGGGCCTTGGGGACGGCAACTGGTGATTTGTGTGTCCCCTCACTTGCAAGCTTTTATCTTGGGACACTGTTGCCATTTAGTCAGAGCGCCCGTCCTTCTTGTGGGACCAGGGGAGTCTTGCTCCCTTACTCCTCTCCAGGAAGTAAAGAGGAGAGTTGTCTGTCCCTCCCTGCTCTCTGGTTCAGACCCTTGTCATCCCCTAGGCTCAGGGCTGCTGCACAGACTGCAGCTCCCCTTGCAGGAAACACACTGCCTCAGAGACCCAAGACTGTTGCTGGAGCTGCGCGGAAGCCTGTGACTTCCCCCTGCCTGGTCCAGCCCACTACCTGGATGCCTGCTGCCCTCATCCCAGCGAAGCTGTGAGTTCCATTCCGAGCCCGTACAGCTCCCCCTGGCCTGGGTATAGCCTGGGACTTTGTTTTCTTTGTTCAGCACATTTATCACTGAGCACTAACCCTAGGCCAGGCACTGAGTCATAGGCAAACAGCTAAAAGCAACAGAGCAATGTATCAGCTTGTTTCTGGTGATGAATGGTTCTTGAAAGAAAAGAAAATAGGATGACAACTGGAGAAGGATGATTTGTGAGACATGCCCAGTGTATAATTAGGACTGTTGTATTTTTCTTTTCCTTCTTTGGAGACAGGGTTTCTCTATTATGTACCTCTGGCTGTCGTGAAACTTGATATGTAGACCAGGCTGACCTTGAACTCACAGAGATGCACCTGCCTCTGCTTCCCAAATGCTGGGAATACAGGTGCCAGCAACCCAACCCAGCCTCTTTTTTTGTTTTGTTTTGTTTTGTTTTGTTTTGTTTTGTTTTGTTTTTCGAGACAGGGTTTCTCTGTGGCTTTGGAGGCTGTCCTGGAACTAGCTCTTGTAGACCAGGCAGGTCTCGAACTCACAGAGATCCGTCTGCCTCTGCTTCCCGAGTGCTGGGATTAAAGGTGTGCACCACCAACGCCCGGCCCTCGTTACTTAATTTTAAAAAATTTGTCTTGCATACGAGACGGTCCTTAAACTCTTGTTTCTGTCTCCTGAGTGCTAAGACTTCAGGCGTGCACCACAACATAACTGGGTTAACTGTACTCTCTTTTCACTTTTATTTGTTGCCTTTCATTAGTTTAAATTTGTGAGAGGATCCTGTGTCCAATGGCCTTTGCAAGAAAGTCGCTTTGACCTTTGGCATGAACCCTGCCGCTGTTTCTGAGGGTCTGAGTTGTCTTTCCCCAGGTTACTCTGGCTTTTCAGTTTACCTCTCGGACTCAGTGTGTTGTTCTTGCTTTATACACGTAAGCGCATCTCTTGCCCAAGTAGAATTAAAGCTCATCTCAGCCATAACCACCTTCAATTTTAAGAAGAGCCATGTTCTCTCTTTGGTTCCGGAGACCTCACTTCTAGCCAGCAAAAATGGCCTTGGACCACAGCCTTCCAAACATATTTGGCTTTTAGAGGTTCCGTTCCCAGCAGGACTCCATAGGTGCCAAGATGATGGGAAGCTTACTTTTTTTTTTTAAGATTTATTTATTTATTACATATACAGTGTTCTGTCTACACTCCAGAAGAGGGCATCAGATTGAATTGTAGATGGTTGTGAGCCACCATGTGGTTGCTGGGAATTGAACTCAGGACCTCTGGAAGGGCAGTCAGTGCTCTTAACCTCTGAGCCATCTCTCCAGCCCAGGAAGCTTACTTTTATTTTTAAATTAAATCATATTAATTATTAAGCAAGCTGGATTTTTGCTGGTTTGGTTATTGTTTTGTTTTGCTTTGTTTTTTTTTTTTTTTCCAGACATAGTCTCATTAAGTAGCCCTGGCTGGCCTGGAACTCGGCTGTGTAGACTAGGTTGGCCTCAGACTCACAAAGATCCTCCTCTGCCTCCCGAGTGCTGGGATTGCAGGTGTAGAAAGGCAAAGTGGTAGAACGTTCGGCTAGAGTCACAAGAAACAAGGGAAGGAGGGAGCAGAGATAGGAAGGGACAGTCATTTTCCAGATCAGCTCCTCAAAGTTGTCTCGTTTGTGTGTCACCCTCATGCCTGACTGTCACTACCATGCCTGGCAAAGATGGAGCCCCAGCACATAGTCTGCTTCTTCATGGCCCTTTCACCAGGACATCGCACCTTGACCGTGTGTCCGTGCCTGAGCATGGAGCTGTGCGTGCATTACCCCACCCCTCGTGCAGAGGAGTAAGAAGGCTTAGGCATGATTGTGGCTTCCCCAGTGTCACCCCGAAAAGCCTTAGCTAGCAAATTGCTCCCAAGTTTTAGCTGCAATAGAACCCTCGAGGGAAATTGAAAATGTTCAATGTGATCAACCACCTTTTTTTTTTTTTTTTTTTTTGGTTTTTCGAGACAAGGTTTCTCTGTGGCTTTGGAGGCTGTCCTGGAATTCACTCTGTAGACCAGGCTGGCCTCGAACTCACAGAGATCCGCCTGCCTCTGCCTCCCGGGTGCTGGGAGTAAAGGCGTACGCCACCAACGCCCGGCTTCAACCACCTTCTTGAACAGGGACTATTTGGGGTTCAGAAATTTAGACAACAGAGTTTCTGTCCTTTAGTGGTAACCTTCCTTAGCAGGGGGGGTAACAGACTGATCCTAAGCAAATTCATAACTTGGATTGACTGTACTTGATACAAATCCTTGGCAGATGTTTTGAGTTTCAAAATAAATTATGAGAGTTGGAGATGTAGCTGAGTTGGTAGAGTGTTTGCCTAGTATACAGGAGACACTGGGTTGATTCCCAGCACCACATAAACTAGGTCCGGATGCCTTTGGTCCACAGGCAACAGGCATGCATGTGGTGCACAAACATACACATAGTCTAAATACTCATACACATGAAATAAAAATAAAAAATCTCAAAAAAAAAAAAACAGAAACTCAAGGTAAAGCTACATAGGAAGTTCAAGGCCAGTATGGGCAAGCTACCCTATCTCAAAAAATAAGTATGAGGGCTGGAGAGATGGCCTAGAAGTTAAGAGCACTAGCTGCCCTTCCAAAGGACCTGGGTTTGATTCCCAGCACCCACATTCAGACTCAGAACTGTTTGTATCGCCAGCATTTAAAATAAAGATATTTGAACCTGCATTGAAAAATAATTATAATAGGTGGTGTATCCTAGCCTCAGGGGGCAGAGGCAAGTGCCAATTCAAGGCCAGTCTGGTCTGTATAGCAAGTTCCAAGGCAGCTGTGGCTTCGTAGTGAGAGGGTAAGCAGCTGTCTTCTTTCAAATAGTCTGCTGTGGTCCCACTGACAGGAGGTGGTCTCCCGGGTGGGATGGGGAAGGGAGACCTTAGGTTCTAAGAACACCTATCTTAGGGAGCTACAGAATGATTCATGGTCTTCACGCCCCGTCTCCTTCCTTATCTGTCCACATGGAGTGACAAGTCAGGGATCCAACGTCTCAGGAAAAAGGTTGAGTGGAGGTTGACTGGGAGAATACAGGGTTTCCCAACCATTGGTCCACGGCTTCAGAACCTGGTGGATCTGATCCTGTCCAGTTTCTGCTGGATCAAGGAGAGATGCAGAGTGACCAAGGGTAGGGAAAACTTGTCCTGTCCTTGATCTGTCTTTCCTTAAAGTACATTGAAGTGCCTCTGTTCTCCAGGTTCCTTATGGTGACAATGGCAGCCAGAAAGGCGACAGAGCTTGTCTGTTTGGCCAGTGTAAACACTGAGGCTCATAGAGGTTTGAGGGACTCATTTGCCTGGGGTCAGGCAGATGTGCCAGCTAGACCACAAACCCAAGGTATTCTTTCTCTCCGCACGAGAGACCTGCTCACTGAACTGCATTGTTAGGACGGTGGAGTTCCTTCATCTCTTCCCGACCTCATGAGTACACTGCATAGAGAGCCACCATGTGAGGCTTTGTGCTGAACCTGGGGGCTCAGCAAAAATAAGCCAGACGATAGAGCTGTGGGGAAGGGCAGAGATAAGTGAGTGGACAGTTCTAGGAGTAGAAGGGGAGGACTTGCAGCAAGGCGATCAGGAACAGTGGGAGCCTTGTGTGTCAGGCCTCCAAGGCCTCTCACCAGCGGGCCTGGGGTGGGATTGTAGTTTGTGCTTTTTAACAAGCTCTTGTAATTCCAATGTACATCAGACTTAAGAACTACCGTTAAAGCTGGGCATAATGGCACACGCCTCTGATTCCAGCACTCGGGAGGGAGAAGCAGATAGATCCCTGTGAGTCTGAGGACAGCCTGTGTTGCACAGTGAGTTCCAGGCCAGCCAGGGCTGAACACCTAATGGGGAAAAACAAACTGCAGGGGGAATCCAGAACCATGATGACAAGTGTAGCTCTCTTCACCGAGCCCTCACTAAGGACCTCATTTCTGTGCTGTGTCCATTTCAAAGATGAGGAAACTGAGGCTCAGAACATGATTTAGTCAGGCAGAATTCACACCTGGGTCTTACTGCTGTAGGACTTGAGCACTAACTAGCCCTCCCAAAGTCCCAAGGAAAACCCCGCCCAAGAACACAGGGGTTGACAGGCTGCAGAGTCCTTGTCTGATGCACTTAAACAGCAGAGCTCTTCCAGAAACCTTTGCTTGTGTGAGTCAAGAAATCCATTAGCCAGTTATTAATGGCTGGACAAAACCCTTCCGTGAACAGAGCCGACATGCTTTTAATGCCCTCTCTTCTGAGGTGAGGGCAGTGAAGTGTTCTGGCCAGTGGCTCTGCATGATGGTCTGGTCCTCTCCAAACCCACAGACCCCACTCCATCCCTAGAGATGCCCAAACCACTCTTCACACAAAGAAACCGCTTCTCTCCCCTCCACCATTATGGCCTTCGCCCCTGTGGGCAGCAACACAGCCCCGTTTAGACCCCTTTCCCGGTAGCTGGCTGGTCTCCTCCCCTTGCTGGAGCCTCTACTGACAGCTGATCTCACTGGTCATCTGACACCGTACCCCGAAACCTCAGCTGTTGAAAAGGTCATTTCCCTATTCCTGGCTTGGCCCAGTTTCTGATGGAACTGTGCAACTGTGGCTGTCACTAGCTTTGCTCGTGGCCTCAAGGAGCCGGGCTTCTGTCACACAGCCACTCTGGGTGTGTCCACTCCAGTGCCTTGGCCTGCCTCCCATCCATACCCTGGGCAGCTGCAGGTCATTCCTGTCCCAGGCTATAGGAGCTGTGAGTTGGAGTGTTGAATGTCCCTTCCTATCTCTCAGGACATTATGTCCATGAGATAGACATCTTTCATGGAGTTGAGAGGCCCTCTTCTGCCTTTGCCTAAAGAGGGCAAAGTGACATGCTTAGCTTAATTCATACAGTCAGCATTTTTCTGTGTCTCAAACACCTGCTAAGCCTGAGTCCTCACACTAAGTAGAGAATACGAAACCAACTGTCCTTGTTGTTGAAGCCTTAGAATTAAGCCGACATTCCTGGCCTAAGAAGAGTAGGCACAGGGGACTCACAGGCCTGGGGAAACCAACTCTAGTTCAAGTCAGTTCATCTCTGGTTATATTCTTTTGGGAACAGCTTCCTCCCCCACCCCAGGTAGAGTGCTTGCCTAGTGTTAGTGAGGTCCTACGTTCCTGGCACTTCAGGGGAAAAAAGACCTTTTTGTTTGTTTGTTTGTTTTTGTTTTATTGTTTTGTTTTGTTTTTCAAGACAGGGTGTTTCTGTGTAGCTTTGGAGCCTGTTCTGGAACTCACTCTGTACACCAGGCTGGCCTTGAACTCACTTAGATCCACCTGCCTCTGCCTCCCAAATGCTGGGATTAAAGGTGTGTGCCACCACCATCCGGCTGCCTTTTTTTTCTTTAGATTTATTTTGTCTATGAGTGTTTTGCCTGAGGAAAACCATACACCATGTGTGTGCCTGAAGAAGTCAGAAGAAGGTGTCATTCTAAGCCACTGTGTACGTGTTGGGAACTGAGCTCAGGTCCTCCAGAAGAGCCAAAATTGCTGTTAACTGCTGAGCCATCACTTCAACCCTTGGTTTTGTTTTTTTGTTTTTTGTTTTTTCGAGACAGGATGCTTTGGAGGCTGTCCTGGAACTGGCTGTTGTAGACCAGGCTGGTCTCGAACTCACAGAGATCTACCTGCCTCTGCCTCCCGAGTGCTGTGATTAAAGGTGTGTGCCACCACTGCCCGGCTCAGTCCTTGGTTTTTTGCTTTGTTTGTTTGTTTGTCTTGCTTTGTTGTTTAGAGATAAGGTCTCAAGTAACTCAGGATGATTTGAAATTTTCATCTTCCTTCCTTCCTCTCCTGCCAAGTACTGGGATTACAGGATCACTTTATGTCAATGGTTCTTTCTGTGGTTCAAGATCCCTTTGTAGTGAAACAGTCCTTTCACAGGGGTTGCCTAAGAATGTCGTAAAACACAGATGTTTATATTACAAATCATAATAGTAAAATTAGTTAAGAAGAAGCAACAAAAATAATTTTATAGTTGGGGGTCACCACAACATGAGGAGCTGTATTTAAGGATAGAGGCATTAGGAAGTTTGAGAATCAATGCTGTTATGTAACCCTGGCTGTCCTGGAATTTAATATGCAGATCTGGCTGGCCTCAAACTCACAGAGATCTACCTGCTTTAGCACTAGGAAGTGAGTGAGTTGCATTATAGCCAGGCCACACAGTGAAACCCTGTCTCAAAACAAAGGACAACGGAAGCCCCAAGTGCTTGGTAGGTTAAAGCAAGAGGATTGTCATGCTCTTGTGGCTAGCCTTGGTTTCATAGTTCCAGATTAGCCTGAGCTATACAGTGAGAACCTGTCTCACAAAGAAAGGAAGGAAGACATCTTTCTTTCTTTCTTTTTGGTTTTTCGAGACAGGATTTCTCTGTATTGTTTTGGAGGCTGTCCTGGAACTCGCTTTGCAGACCAGGCTGGCCTCGAACTCGTAGCCATCTGTCTGCCTCTGCCTCCCGAGTGCTAGGATTAAAGGCATGCACCACCACTGCCTGATTTAAGGAAAACATCTTACAGTTCGGTTTGATGTCAGCAAAGAATCCAAACCCAGAAGTTATCTTCATGAGAATGGAAATGTGTTTCTATGTCTGGCTTCCTAAGAGAGGACAGCAGAACTGTCTTGGAGCTGGACACTGACACCCAAATTCTAGCCAGACCTAAAGCTAGTTCTTCACTGGTCCACTCTTCTCACCCAGAGCCCCTGAATGCTGGAGCTTGGAGCCTACTGAAGTAGGCTAGAGTTCTGTATCACTGAATTCTCAACATGGAAAATTGCTTTGTTTCCAGACATGGTGGATGGTACCCTCTGTTCCTCTGAACAGAGGAACTTCTGAGCCCCTCTGCTCCCTTCTCCAATTGGAAGGAAGCAGACCCAAGTCCTGGCACTGCTTCATTCGCCCTTCTTTTCTCCCTCAGGGTTGGGCCCCTCGATGCCCACCATGCTGCCCATTGTGTGACTGTGCCTGTGCCTGCCAGCTTCCGGACTGCCAGAGCCTCAACTGCCTCTGTTTCGAGATCAAGCTCAGATGAAGGATGGGGATGGGGGGCTTGTTCTTTGGGGAGTGGCCAGCCCCTAGGGCCCCCTTTGTAATGGCCCTCAGGACACCACCTCCAGGCCGCTGGAACTACAGCTGGCAGGCCCAGCCTAAATCCCCTCCGGAGCCTTGAATGGAGGGTCTGGTTCCCTGCAGGACAGGGTTCTGAGAGCCCTTGGACAGCTGCATTTCAGCTCCTTTGGAGGGCCTGAAAGAAAAGGGGCTGGTGTTCTGGCCAGTGCCCCTACCCCTCGCCCCCTCCGTCTCCCCCCTCTACCATATTTGTGAAGGTGAGGATGCAGGACATTGCTCACCCAGGCAACAATATGGGAAGGCTCTGCCAACCTGGAATATCAAGATGTAGGGACAGCTAGCTACACCCTGCCTGTAGACACCCGGTTATTTTAAGAGGTGAGTATCCTGCCTGTATTTTCTCTCCTTACAAAAAAAAAGTACAGCTACCAGAGTCAAGGGAGGAGAGGAGTCAGCATCCAGACACCCTACCAATCTTCCCTTCTTGCTCTGCCTTACAGATCCCAGACCCGAGAGTGATTTCTCTTGACCACTGTATTTTCAAGGAAGAGATTCCTCTAAAGACCGGTGAGTGGGCAGGAGCACCATCTCCTCTCCAGGCAAACCAAAGCTTCCTCTCTCTTCCCCGACTCAGGGGCCCCATGCTGGCATGAATGTCAGGAGCCTCAGGTTTCCCTAAATATAGGTCCCTACCGCGGGATTCGTGGTGGGGAAAGGCCAGGGGTTACCGAGAAGGAACACTCGTGCTGGGGTATGTAGGGGAGGGGTGGTGGCGAGGCGCTCCCTTATAACCCAGCCCAGAGCCGCCGGCCTCACTCGCAGCTGACCAGGCTCTGCTGACTTCTTTGACTGCGCCACAGGTGGGCCGCTAGCCAGATTCCGGATAGGGATGGGGGTTGCAGATTGGGGCCTGAGGGAAGTGGGTCTCTGAGTGTAAGTGGGTGGCAGAGAGCTTGGAGACGGATTTTTATTTTGGAGAAGGAAATCAGGCTCGGGGTAGAGTCGGGCTTGATCCAGCCCCTGTGGATCATTTCCTCCAAGATGGTGTTTAGTTGTAGCGGGTGGTGACTCCTGCCAATCTGCTAGCCTAGCTCGGACCAAGCTAGCCACTCTTCGGTGATGTGGCTGGCGCGCTGGTACGAGGAGGCTTTGCCTATGTACCCCGCTAACTTCGTCGCTCTCCCCCGCTCCTCGTGGGTGGTCGGGCCGGGGAGGGATCGGCTGCGTCGGTAGCCATGTTCTGAACGAGGCAGGCAGGCGCAGAACCTCTGGGTTCTTTGCAGTGACGTCAGGCTGCCACTGTGCAGGCCGGAAGCCTGGGGGTCTAGGAGGGGAGGCCAGCCTTCATTTCACTCTGACACCCCCACCCCCTCGCCAGCCCACATTCCGGCTGAGTCACGATGCTCGCGCGCTAGCCAGGCGGGAGCTGGGGGAGGGAGGGCTCCGGTGACCCGCGGGATGTGGCTCGAGTCACGTCCTAGCGGAGCGGAGGAGGGATCGGGTTCTGGCCGCTAGTCTCCTCCCTAGCGCCTCCTCCTATCGCAGCATCTTGGGGCGGTGTCGGACACAGTGCCCGCCTGTAATTGGACGCTTAGTGTCCCAGCAAGGAAAAAACCTGCAGAGGGCGGAGCGACGCCTTTAAATGTCCGGGGCCCCGCCTCTCGCCCCCCCCCCAGTTGAATAGACTGCGTTCCTTTGGAACGCCCCGCAGAGCGGTGTTCTGGTGACTCTAGCCGCGTTCGCTTCTCTGTCCTTTTGCCTACCCACCGCCGTATCCGGCAGACCCACCCCTCCTGTGCCAGGTAAGCGCCATTTGACACGTGCGCGCGGAAGGGACCTTGGGGTAGGATCTTGGGCCCGTGGAGGGCAGGGCGGCAGCGCGGAGCCTCCATCCCTACGGCCCCTCGTTTCTCCCTTCTCTATCCCCCACGCTCGCTCCCAGCCCGGGTTTTCCTGCCCTCTCCAGCCCGCGCCCTTGCTGTATGCTGCGCCACGCAGCAGCTCCGCGCGCTGAGTCATGGCGGGGGAGGAAGCAAGATGAGGTGGAAAACGAGACCTCCTCCTCTTGTATTTTTATTTTTGCAAGGACTCTCCCCTATGCAAACATTAGGGGCCCATTGCCTATTCAGTGATCCCAAAAAGCGATGGGTGTGGGAGGGTCAGCTTGCACACTGTCTCAGGGTACCTCGATGGGGTGGGGGAGTTTGCTTCCTTTCGGGGGAGCCCCTGGTAAGGAGGGGAAACTCCTCTGCTGCCACGCTCCGTGGCCCATTAACACTTCACTATCTTTCCTTATCTTGTGACCTTGATTCTGAGCCTGGAATTGCTGCAGCGGAACAGACGGGAGCAAGAGCACTTTTCAGGGAAGGGGTGGGGCACGTGCCTCTCATATACCCATTACCCTTTGAGCATTGTGGAGGCGAAGCTTCCCTACCACCCGGGCTCCTTACCCCTTTCCCTCTGTTTCTGATTGCCCTGTATTTTTCCTAATATCCTTTACCCCACACACACTCAAGAGAGAGAAGCCTGACCTTGGGGTGTCCTTGAAGCCTGGGCCAGCCCTGGGTAGATTACAAGGGATGCCCAACCTCAGTCAGAAAATCTGGGTTCTATCTCAACTCTCTTGGGTTACTGTGTGACTTCAAGCACAGATCATTTCTTTCTTGGGCTCTTTCAAATAAGGGTATTGGGCTGTCTGCCCTATTCCTGATCCCTATGTTCTAAAATACTCCCGGTTCAATTTTGTTTCTAGGCAAGGTGACCCATGGCAACGCGCAGGCCAGATGGGTCCAGCTTCAACATGACCCGCCTGTCCCTGGCTCTGGCTTTTTCCATTCCCCCAGTTGCCAGTGAGCAACCCCACTCTCAGCTGGGCAACACCCAGCAACAGACAGAGTTAGGAAAGGTACAGGAAGAGGCAGGTCTAGTATAGGGAAGTTGGGTATAGGGGAGAGCGCTGGGACAGGAAGTATCCCTGAACCCTCAGGGAGTGGGGCAGGGGAGATGGGGGCTACTGCCCTGGCCTCCAGGGGCGGAGTCCTGTTAACCTGGGGAGACTATTGGATGGCCCAACTAACCACTTGTCCCTGTCTGTCTCTTTCACTCAGGAGCGTGCTGTCACCAGCGCCATGCCTTACCCATACCCAGCACTGACCCCGGAGCAGAAGAAGGAGCTGTCTGACATCGCTCATCGAATTGTGGCCCCGGGAAAGGGCATCCTGGCTGCAGATGAGTCCACCGGTGCGGTACAGGCAAGAGAAAGGGGGAGGAGGGCCCAGGGTTGGAGGTGGCAGGCTGATCCCCTTACATGGCCCTCCCTTCAGGAAGCATCGCCAAACGCCTGCAGTCCATTGGCACTGAGAACACCGAGGAGAACAGGCGCTTCTACCGCCAGCTGCTGCTGACTGCTGATGATCGTGTGAACCCCTGCATTGGGGGGGTGATCCTCTTCCATGAAACACTGTACCAGAAGGCGGACGATGGACGTCCCTTCCCCCAAGTTATCAAGTCCAAGGGCGGTGTTGTGGGCATTAAGGTAAGGGCCCTGGGGGTGTATGATTAGATTAGAGATGGATTAATAATTGAATGCCAGGTTAATAGGTCTAGACTTAGGTGTGATCTGCCCCAGAGTTAAGGGGATTTGTACTCAGCACTTTGTTTTGTCAGCATTTGGGATGGAACCCAAGCCCTTGTGCATGCTAGGCAACTGCTCTGTTGCTGATCTCACAGCCCCCTATGATTGATTGTAAGGTGTTTACAGCTGAAAAACTAAGGTCTAAAGCAGTGAAATGGGCTAGGCAGTGGTGGCACATGTCTTTAATCCCAGCAGAGGCAGGTGGATCTCTCTGAGTTCGAGACCAGCCTGGTCTACAAGAACTAGTTCCAAGACAGCCTCTGAAGCCAGAGACCCTGTCTCGAAAAAACAAAACAAAAAAACAAAGCAGTGAAATGGTTTGCTTAGTGAAAGGTAGTGCCAGCTCCTCTAATATTCCTCTCTAATCCTGTGTGTCTTTCCTCGTGGGACTCAGTAAAATGTCAGAGGCTGCAGGGAGGGATGAAGCTGGGCTGGGTGGAGGAAAGGGTGGTAAAACTCAATTGCTGCCCTGTCCCCTGGCAGGTAGACAAAGGCGTGGTGCCCCTGGCAGGAACCAACGGCGAGACCACCACTCAAGGTGAGGATGGTTTGCCTCCTTCCCTTTCCCACCAGCTCACTGGAATCCCAGCATGAGCAGGGTCCTAACCCTGCTTCCCATTTTGTCCCTCTTCAGGGCTGGATGGGCTGTCTGAACGATGTGCCCAGTACAAGAAGGATGGAGCTGACTTTGCTAAGTGGCGTTGTGTTCTGAAGATTGGGGAGCACACTCCCTCAGCCCTCGCCATCATGGAAAATGCCAATGTTCTGGCCCGTTACGCCAGCATCTGCCAGCAGGTGGGACTGGCCTACAGCGCCATAGTAGGCCACATCCTGCCTCATTTGGTTCCAGCATGGGCTGGCTTTCTGTCCATCTGCCTCCCCCAGAGCAACTGTTGTAGATGGCCACCACACATCAGGCTTGCCAGTGGAGGCCACTCTGCAAAGCAGTGATGGGGATGAAGGGGTGATCTGAGAAAATGGTTTGTCCCCTGTAATCTGCTGAGGCCTTTAAAGTCCTGATTCACTGTCCTGAAGATAAGATCTTGGCTAATGGTGGTGGAGAGCTGTAGGTGGGGTTCCCAGTCAGGAGTCCTCACGTTACCCTCTCCCTCCCCACAGAATGGCATTGTGCCCATTGTGGAGCCTGAAATCCTGCCTGACGGGGACCATGACTTAAAGCGCTGTCAGTATGTAACTGAGAAGGTAGGCTGCCTATCTGCCTGGGCAGGGTTCCGTTGGGAGTCCCTGTGCGTCGCCTCACCCTGCCCGCCCTCTTCCAGGTGCTGGCTGCTGTCTACAAGGCTCTGAGTGACCACCATGTCTATCTGGAAGGCACATTGCTGAAGCCCAACATGGTCACCCCGGGCCATGCCTGCACCCAGAAATTTTCCAATGAGGAGATTGCCATGGCAACTGTCACAGCTCTTCGTCGCACAGTGCCCCCTGCTGTTCCTGGTGAGGCCTACTCGCTTGTCTTGCCTTGGTGAATTGGATGCGCCATCACAGTGGACTCCTTTCCAGAGTAGCTTTTGGCAGCTCCTCCCTGCCCTGCATCTCTAACGAAGGCCACCTCTTTCTGTCCTTGTTCTCTAGGGGTCACTTTCCTGTCTGGAGGGCAGAGTGAGGAAGAGGCGTCCATCAACCTCAATGCTATCAACAAGTGCCCACTGCTGAAGCCATGGGCCTTGACTTTCTCTTATGGCCGAGCCCTGCAGGCCTCTGCTCTGAAGGCCTGGGGTGGGAAGAAGGAGAACCTGAAGGCTGCCCAAGAGGAGTACATCAAGCGAGCCCTGGTGAGCATCATGGAGTGGGGTAAGAAGGTGCCAAGGCAGGTGGGGGAGACCAGAGCTCTCACCTGATTTTTCTCTTCCCTTTTAGGCCAACAGCCTCGCTTGTCAAGGAAAGTACACCCCAAGCGGTCAGTCTGGAGCTGCTGCCAGTGAATCTCTCTTCATCTCTAACCATGCCTACTAAGCAGAGGTGATCTAAGGCTGGCTGCCCCATCATCACTCCAGGCCCCGCCTACCCACTTGCTGTTCAAGAGGGGGCCTCAGGCTCTTTCCCGTTACTCTTGCTGCCCTCGTGACTGCTGCTGTGTGGTGTCGTCTGTGAATGCTAATTCCGCCATCCTTTCCAGCCCACTGCCAATAAACAGCTATTTAAGGGGGAGTCTGTTGTCCATGTCTTCTAGGGGATAGGGGAGGCCTGAGGAGGTAACTAAGTTCAGAAGAGGGAAGAGCCTTATTTTGGGTTCTATCTTTCTGGATAGTAAAAGGATGCAGTAAGGCTTTGTTGATCTGTATTTTTTTTTGTTTTTGACCAATGATTTGAGGAAGACAGAGTATTGTGAAACGTTCTAACCACATCTGATTGAAGGTGACTGATCTGCCTCTAGCTCCTGAGTGCTAGGGTACTGAGCCTAGTTGGCTGGGATCCAAGCCAGGGCTTTGAGAACTAGTTAAAGACTGCCTCTGAGCTACACCCCTAGCCCTCTCCTTCCTAATTTAGGCTTTGTTACCTTGCCCAAGATGAAACTTTCTTGGTGGGAACAAAGCATTTAATATATATGTAGCCATTTTCCCATTGCAAAAGGAAATGTAATTACCAATGGCTTTAGGAGCCTTTGAAGACTCCAGAATCCTCGCCCACACAGACATAGGGTACACACAGGCAGGACTCGGGTACACAACTGCAGAATTCAGGTTGACAATGGAGCCTGAGCTGCTGGTGGTCCCTGATGCTGGAACAAGGGCCCCACACCAAATTGTGGGCTACCCAATGGTGGGTGTAAGATCTTGCCTCAACGTTTGCATTTGTGCCATGTGTGCCTGAGCGAGCCCTTGGAGCCCAAGAAAGGATATCATCCCTTGGAACTGGCGTTACTCATGGTTGTGAAGCTACCATGTAGGTGCTGGGAATTGAGCATGGGCCCTTTGGAAGAGCAAAAAGTACTCCAAAAGTGCTGAGCTATCTCTCCAGCCCCATCATACCTCTAGTTGAAGATTCTAAGTATAAAAGGGGACTAGTTTGCTGTGGTGTCTCCAGCCTTCCTGGCCTGAATCCTTACTGTTCTGTTTCCCTTTCAAAACATTTTTTTCTCTGCACACTTCTATGCATAGTACAATCTAGGAGTATCAAAACAGTCTGCCATCCACATGTTTCTATGTATTGCCTATAGCCCAGGCCAATTGCTCAGTGGTTGCGCACTTAGCTGTCACTCAATCTGATTCCATCACCAGCACTGCAAGGAAGAAGAGCTAAATCCCTACTACTCCAAATTTGCTTTCACCTCTCTGCCTACTGCATTTACCTCTTGGAGACAATCTCTGTCTGGGACCCCCTCCTCTCTCCCACAGGGTTTTCTATGTAGCTTTGGCTGTCTTGTATCTCTCAAAGAGATGGACCTGCCTCTGCCAGGATAGGGTGTGGGCCACCATCCCTGGACTTCTAGAAAGTGGCACATAAAAACCGATGTTCAAAGTTGAGGGACAGTAAAAGACATTCCAAAGGGGAGTATGTGTAAAAACTAGGTTCAGAAGGTTTTCAGTGTGAATTTAAAGAGTGTTGGGTCTAATTTTTGTGTTGCTTTGAGTTTCAGAAAGATGAAACCATTTTTTTCTGGGTTCACATTTGATCCTTGGTTCAAACACCAAATTTTTAGCTTTGCAGCTGAGCGAGTTAACCAGAGCCACCAACAGTTTGAAGGAAAGGAGTATGGTCAGGCAATAGGAAGTAATTTTGGGTGTTGTCTAACACCTGTAATCATAGCACTTGGGAGGCCCAGATGAGATTTGCTGTGAGTTAAGGTCAACACTGATAAACTGCAAATTTTGGGCCATCCTGGACTACAATGAGACCCTGTCAAGAAGAAACAGATAATAGGCTATTTTGGAATCAAGAGAGTCTTGGAAACAAGCTTGGTGTGGGGAGAGTTGATGCTTTTTTGTTCAATTAGACTCCCCTGTCGGTCCTAGGGATCCAATTCAAGTCAGTTAGGCTTGGTGACAGGCAGTCCTTTTTGTCAAGTATGTCATCTTGGTGGATTTTGGTTTTGCTTTTTCGAGCGATTACTATGTACCTATGAGACCCTCAAATCCTCGGTCCAGCCTCAGCCTCCTGAATTCTGGGATTTCAAGTGTGCCACATACCTGGCTCACGTTCTGAGTTCCCATGGCAAAGCTTTCAGCCCACTGCAAGATACATGGGTAGGGTTGGCTCATTGATTGAACTATACATGTCCGCAACGCTTGGTCTTACTCTAAACACTGGAAAAGCAATGATGAACATGGCAGTTTCCCCTCAGATCTGTAGTAGAAGCAGGACAGCACGTCGGCAAGAGAAAAGCGCAATGTGAGACGACAAGCTCACAGAGCTCACGTCATTTGGCGTACTCAACTGAGACGCAGCGAAGCTTGCCTACCAGACCCCCGTCACCCGCCCACTTCCGACTCCTTAGTTCCTCCCACGTGCCGCGAGAGGGGCGTGACCTGTATGTCACTTCCGGCGCGCGACTTATCAGGCCTCCCTTTGCTTCCGCGGCGAGGCCGGAAGTAGAAGCGACGGTGGCGGAGGCCCAAAGCGGAGGGAAGTGGGGAGTCGGAGAGACCCAGCCGAAGTCCTAGCGGCGGTAATTGTCCGAGGCCCCTCTAGGCCACCGTCCTTAGCGCGGGCCCGCGGGGTTCGACGGGAGTTGGCGGGGTGCGGCCAGGGCAGCGGGACGCCGAGGGTCCTGGACCGCCGTGAGGGGAGGGGGGGGCGGTCCCAGAATCGAGTCCCCCCTCCCGCACGGACCCTCTGATTGGCGGGCTCGCCTTCGCTTTTCCCAGGAGACCCCTGTGCGGTCCGGAGGGGGCGGCGGCCCCGACTCTGACCCGCGCCGGGGGGTGGGCCATGGCGGAAATCAGCGACCTGGACCGGCAGATCGAGCAACTGCGGCGCTGCGAGCTCATCAAAGAGAGCGAAGTCAAGGCTCTGTGCGCTAAGGCCAGGTGAGCCCGCAGCCCCGCAGGAGGGAGGCCCGCCCGTCGCCCAGGGGTTTCCGGCTGGGCAAACTCAGCTGAGAACTTAGGGCTTGTCCCATCCTGGAAGCGTTCCCGGAGGGGAGCGGTCCCGAGGGCCACTTCTTCCCTGGAACTACGGGTCGGCTGTAGATGTGTTTCTAGTGGAGTCAGAGTGAGTGACAAAAAGTTCTTAGGAAAGCTAGGGAAACCGATCTGCCCTACCGGGGCGAAAGAAAGTTTTCTTGGAGAGACTGAGTTCTGGGACCGACCTTTAAGAATAAGCAGGTTTAGCCGGGCGTTGGTGGCGTACGCCTTTAATCCCAGCACTCGGGAGGCAGAGGCAGGCGGATCTCTGTGAGTTCGAGGCCAGCCTGGTCTACATATCGAGTTCCAGAACAATACAGAAAAAAAAAAAAAAGAATAAGCAGTTTCAAGAAAACAAACGAACAAAAAACTTGTGGTTTGTAAGTCTATCAGTCCTTAAAGAGAAGGGGTTTTGTGCTCACTTCAACAATCAAGGGCTATAATGGTTCAGAATTGCCAGCAAGAAGGAATGGGATCCCAAACCAGTTCTCTGAGTGCTGATCCTCTAAGCTGTGATTCAGGAAGATGAAGTTGGATCGCTCTCGTGTTCCGTTGGGATCCTGAGGAAAGCAGAGTAAGCTAGGGTAGAACGTAATGAGTTCCACACCAGCTTGGTTTGCTGAGTGAGGCCCTGTCCAAAAAAGCCACAGTCTCTACACACCTCTAACCCCAAGCACCTGAGAGGTGAGGAGGAGTTTAGGGTCACCCTCAGCAAAGTCCAGGCCATCACAGGTGACTCTGGCTCAGATAAACAACAAAATCAAATAGATATGGAGAGAGGCAGGGTTTTCTAGGAAGTTATAAATAAGGATCCCATTTTGGGTTGCAATGACTGGGCTTGAATCTGAGCTCTGGCACTTTGTGTGTCCAGGAGTGAGTAAAGTGGATGTGTTCAGTAAAATGGTTGTGGATATTCATCACACGCTTGAAGCGTGGTGTTTGGGTAAGTCGTGAGATGGTAGTATTTATGGTGGGAAGGGCACACTAATGGTCTATTTCTGGATTGAAGCTCTCGGGGCTTCTAAAAGAGGGTAGTCCTTGAAAGATAAACTCTAGCGGATGGAGCTCAGGGACAAAGAACCTTCAAGCAGGGTAGGAGTGAAAGGGAAATATGTAGGCAACAGTTAAAGCCTGTTGTCTGCTGCTTCTGTCTCAGTGTGGCTTCTACCCTGTTTAATAGAGCAGTAGCATAGTTCTTACCTTGCGCCTTCAACCCTGCGAGGCAGGAGGAAGAGGTGTGCACTCGTGTGCTCCAGAGTCTGTGTCTCTAATGCCTCCCATTTAGCTCAGCTGGCCCTGAACTAGGCTGGTCTTGAACTCAAAAGATCTGTGCTGGGAATCTTGGGGTCTGGCCCAGGGCTGGCTGTCCCATGGCACCAACCCTAACAAAACTGTCCATGCTGCCTTGGCCTGTGTGTGACCTGCAGTGCTCGTGCTATACTTGCCAAGCTTGGGTTTGGAAATGGAGGGCTGCCGAGATTGGACATCAGGAACTACCAAAGGGATTTTGAGAAATAGTCGCACTACAAGAACTAGAGCCAATTCCATAAGTTGTAAATTCATCTGTGGCGGTGCAATCCTTTTTAATTCCAGCACACAGGAGGAATAGACAGGCAGATCTCTTGAGCTTGAGACTAGCTTGGTCTACACATCAAGTGCCAGTCTAGCCAGGGATACAGAATGAGACCCTGTTTCCAAAAATAAATAAAATGTATTGCTGACCAGGAAGGAGTAGCACAACCCTTTGAAAAAGTGCATCTGGGGCCACCCTTACTTTGGGCTCTGATTGTTAGAGAGTGAGGTAGAGCTCTAAGAGAAAGGGACCACCCTCCCAGGAGTGTGTGCTGTGCTGTGAGAGGGAGCCACAGGCGAGTCAAGGCTGGAATGTCCCAGCCGGCTTGAATAGGGTTAGGGTGGAAGTGAGAACTTGGACTTTGTCCAGGTGGCAGCAGGAAGCCATGAGCGGGTACTGAGTGGTGGAGGGCCATGGTTAGCTCTTTCGGACCAAAATCATGGGAAGTGCATACTTCCTTCTGTCCCATGGAGGTTCAAGGACTACCTCATGTCCTCCCTCCCTCCAAAAAA